CAAACATGAAAGCAAGAAAACAAGACCATCGCCATGGAAACTATTGTATCACATAGCATAGCATCAAAATGTTAAACCATTGAGAGGTTGAGAGCTAGCAATGCTACAAAAAGAAAGAAACCAAGACCTGAGGGCCTGCCAAGGGAAAAATCAAAGGTCTGAGCCAAGAGTTTAAATCGCTCTTAAGGATGGTGCCATGCAGCTCCCTCTAAAAAGGACACAGATCTACTAATCGGGAAGGATCTTTCCTGCTGCATCACCCACGGTATCATTTTGCACAGAGATGACTCTCCAAAGATGAAAGGCAATTAGTCTATAGCAGTGGCCCTTTTCTTCCCCTGTCTTTTACACTCTTCACAGCTGCCTTGTGGCCAAAATACAGAGCGGTACAAGGTAGAGTAACCCTCCCCCGGCTCTCTTCCCCTCCGGTTTTAGAGAGATAACTTTTTCATTCCTAATCAAAACATGGGTGTTAGATATGCAGGCTGCCATCCACCAGGCAGGTTTTCTGCCATCTGGATCAACCCCACCTCCAACCGAGCCAATTTGCAATTAAAAAAACCAAACTACTGACTACACATTAAATGCAAAGATACTTCCAATATGATCAACAAGCAGCGCCAGATAGGCCATAGATCTACACTATCAGAGGTGCTCTCCAAAAGAGAGAGAGAAAGTATGTGTGTCTATTTTCAAGTCCTTCAAAACCTGAAAGGTCACCTTGTTTTTATCCCTTCCTTTCTCTTTCTTCCCTTTTTTATTTTCTACCTTTCTGGGGGTGATTGGTTGGTGGTGCAATAAAGGCGTGATCCATTCTCTATCTTTTTATTTTAAGCCACACAGCTAATGTTAATGTTATTTAAAATGAAAATATTAAAGTTCCATTCGGACGTCCTGGGAGATGACACTTGTTTGATGAACTGGTTTCTCCTCTGTTTTGCATGGGAGGCTCTGCTTTGGCAATAGTACGTAGTCACAAGGGGCTCAAATGTCACGTGACGCACCCGTGGATGCCGCTCCCTGCCCCTTGAGCCAGGCAGCTGGAA